GAGAATGTAGCTTGTGACAGCCATTATGGAATGCAATGAGGAATTTCTTTCCAAAAAAGATAAAAACAACAACAAAATCAAAGCTGGAGAGATGGCTTAGTGGTTAAGAGGATTTGCTGCTCTCTTGTGGACCTGATTCAGTTCCCAGCATGCACATGGCAGCTCATAATCACAAACTCTAGTTCCAGAAGATCTGAGAGCCTCTTCAGGCCTTAAAGGGCACAAGTATGCATGTGGTACATGAACACACACATAAATGCAATCTAGTTGAAAAAGAAGGTTCTAAAGTTCTGAGCATGGCTTCTCAGAACTATTTTTTAAGAAGTAAACCAGGAATTACCCTATGTCCCAGAACTCCTGGGTATCTGTCCAGAGGAGATGAAAGTAGAACATGAACAAAGCATTGCTCAGGGTAGACACATAGACAGCAGGACCCACTCCCTAAGCAAGTAGTCCAAGTCTCCACAGATGAACAAATGAAGAACAAGTAAAGTATTTACTATAGTATGCACAATGGAACACTCATCAGGCATGACAAACGGTGGAATCCTGCTGCATGTGACGTGAACCAATGAAGAGATAATGATGCTAAGTGAAACAGACCATCACAGAACTACTGCGTGGGCTCAGCTATGGGTGATCCAGTAACAGGGGATCTGACAGAGATCGAGAGGAGAATGGTGTTCACAGGAAGCTGGTGAGACTATGGAGGGGAAAGGTTGGTCAAATGCTAGCTATAGTTAGGAGTAAACACCTCGGAGTGCCTCTGCACATGGGAGTAAACACTCATGAGAATGGGGTATTGTATATTATAAAACAAGAAGAAAGAAATTTGAAAATTTTCACCATAAAATGAAAAATGGTTGGGCAACAAGATGGCTTAGTGGGTGTGGTGGTTTGAAGGAAAATGGCTTTCAAAAGAATGGCACTACTAGGAGGTGTGGTCTTGTTGGAGTAAGTGTGTCACTGTGGAGGTGGACTGTGAGGTCTCCTAGATGCTCAAGCCATGCTCAACGAGATGGATCACCTCCTGTTGCCTGGGACCCAAGATGTAGTACTCTCAGCTCCTTCTCCAGCACCATATCTACCCGCATGCCACCATGTCCCACCATGATGATAACGGACTAAATCTCTGAAAGTGTAAGCCATCCCTATTAAATGTTTTTCCTTTATAAGAGTTGCCGTGGTCATGGCGTCTCTTCCCGGCAGTAGAAGCCCTGGCTAAGACAGCAGGCAAAGGCACTTGATGCACAAGCCTCTTCCATCCTAGGAAATACTGGTGGAAGGAAGAACACACTCTCTTAAATTCTCCTTTGACCGCCACACAAGCTCCATAGCAGATATGCACCCACATTCACACCCACACATGCTACACACACAATACTAATAAATTATTTTAGATAGCAAATATTTTAGGAGATGAATGTACTTAACTGAGTTGAATACTAGAAGTATATACATGTGTTGAAATGTTGGACAGTACCCACTCAATACATGTAGTTGTACGAGTGCTTGTGCATTCTTTAAAAATAAATAATGAATACACTATTTCTCTGTGATATCTGTCCACTTGTTTTCTTGGAGTTATAGATGATGTTTTTAAAAAATACCTTACGTATTCCAAATTAATAATAGCTTTAAATTTTCAAAAATCTGGAAAATATTTCATTTTACTCAGTGTGCACATAGATTCCTGTTGGGAGCCATGCAGCCTAGTCTCAGATCATCATTGACTACCTGCCCAATGGGTTTCCTCATGGTCAGGCACCTGTAGAAACAGGCTCTCATCTGGCAAGGACCAGCAGTCCACGGGACAGCATAGGAATTTGCAAAATTCATGCAGCATGCAGGCTTTATCTCTCATTATATTGGTGATTATTTGGGTTGCTTTAGTTTTAATTGGCCAGTCACACATATAATAGCTATAATTTTCCCTGGAATATCTGATCTTTCTTCAATATTTTCCCCTAAGTTTCTCCAGGGGGCTAATGCTTCTCAAATTTCTTATTTGGAGTTACTAACTACAACTCCCAATTCTGGGAACTTTTCTGATTCAGTAGAGACCGTATGTATGAGAAAACAACACTTGGAACATTAACCAAGTCTCATAGTTCTGAAAAGGAGAATAAGGCATGCATACACAGAATAGGGAAAAAGCCTCAGGAATACACATAATGCCAACTGTTGAGAGTAAGTCCCCTGGACACCAAGCATAAAATCACTGTAGGATCTGGTATGATTCAATAGGAAAAAAAAATACAATTCAAAATGTGGGATGGATAGATCCATCTTTACCGTATGTGGTAGCTATTAGTGGGAAAAGTATGGTATAGTGGGGTGGGAAAAGAGTGCTTTATCAAGGTCTGCCTTTTACAGAGAGATTGAGACATGGGACCCTCTTGTGGAAAAGGGAACTGGATAAAGGCATATCTTGCAGGCATAAAGAAATTGTTTGGGTTTGAAAACTGTTGTCCTTAAAGCATTGTACCCATGTCTAATACTTTTGAGCTTTGTAACTTCCAGTCGCTGCCCACTGACAAAGTGCTGCGAGAGCAGGGTGTGTCTGGCTCAGTATTTACTTAGGCTTGAAAAATGCTGAACTCTACGTCTAGAGTAAGGTTATGTAGGGGGTGGGAAAGTGTATTTGGGAAAGCATGAAGGGGAACAATGGGGGCTTTTATAATGACTATGGTATATTTCTTAAAATATAATGTATTTTTTAAAAGTCAAAAATAGGAGCCAGTAATAAAGTTGTTCATGTAAGCTTGGCAAGAAAAACTCTGTTTACGTATAAATAAAGATGGCTTGAGCTATTTGGGGTCACTTTAGTGCAATCCACTTGGTAGTCAGAAGTTTTCCTTGGGCCAAAGCCCCTTCCCTGCCTCAGGATCTGAACCCCAGCCGAGGCTGAACCCTGGCAAATTCCACTGGTATTGGCATTTCCAGGCCCACCTGCCATGACTAGTGAGCAGTACTAATGTTATTCCCAAATACAGTTAATTATTCATTCTGGTATCCTCAAAGTTTAACCTAACATGGTTCTTTCTTTCTTTCTTTCTTTCTTTCTTTCTTTCTTTCTTTCTTTCTTTCTTTCTTTCTTTCTTTCTTTCTTCCTTCCTTCCTTTCTTTCTTTCTTTCTTTCTTTCTTTCTTTCTTTCTTTCTTTCTTTCTTTCTTTCAGATGATCCTGACATTCTGAAGAGAATCGTCAAATACTGTATAGAATTACTCTGAGTTTGGATTTTTGACATTTTTTTCCCTCAGGGCTTGGAAAAGGTAATTCTAAAATAAAACAAAAGTATGTATTTAATACTCAACATCTAGAATGAGAAGACAAACATTGTCTTCCATATTTACTTCTGAAATTTATTTTGTATTTTAAGAAAGGGCCAGCAAAATGGCTCAGAGGTAAAAGCTGCCTTATAAATCAGACCACAGGAAATGGAGAACAGATGCCGAGAGGTCCTGATTTCACACATGCTTGCATCTTGGCATGTATGTATCCCAATTCATACATATGCATGCATGCATGCACGCACAATGATAACAACCAAAATAAAAATGTTTTTAAAACCATGTAATTATATCTCCTTTATGCCCCTTTCCACTCTTATCCCCCTTATTCTCTTTCCTCCCACATTCCTGGATGTGTTTTTCAATCTGCACTTGTACATGCATTTGTTACATCATGTGTCAACAAACTATTTTCAGCAATATTTTACATTTTTTGTAGGGAAATTTTTGTTGTTGTTGTTTTTGGTATTTTTGTTTGTTTTTGGTTTTTTTGAGACAAGGTTTCTCTATGTAGCCCTAGCTATCCTGGAACTCACTCTATAGACCAGGCTGGCTTCAAATCAGAGGTTCACCTGCCTCTGCCTCCCCAGTGCTGGGATTAGAGGCCTACAACCACCACTGCCCAGCTTTTTTCAGGGATGTTATAATGAACATACATTCTGCAATTTTCTGTCTATATTGATTTTTTCGGGTCTGTATTAATATGTACAAATCTATTTCATTCACTTGAAAATACTGTTTGGTATCTCATTTGGTGAACATGCTGTTTATCCACTTGTTTCACGGTAGAAATTTTAAATTGTTTTCAACTTTTGCTATTGTAACACTATACAAATAGCATGCTTACCCTCATCTTAGATAGTGGAGCTTCTCTGCATTACATTTGCAGCAGTGAAATGCCTGTGTGATGGTTGGGTTTTTGTTGTTGTTGTTGTTTTAAAGATTTCTTTAAATCTTTATTCAGTGTTGTGTTCTGCATGTATGCCTGCAGGCCAGAAGAGGGCGCCAGATCTCATTACAGATGACTGTAAACCACTATGTGGTTGCTGGGAATTGAACTCAGGACCTCTGGCAGAATAGCCAGTGCTCTTAACCACTGAGCCATCTCTCCAGCCCATGATGGTTAGTTTTGTCAATTTGACACAGTCTAGAACAGTGGGTCTCAACCTTCCTAATGCTGTTCCCTTTAATACTGTTCCTCATGTTGTGGTGACACCCAACCATAAAATTACTTTGTTGTTACTCCATAACTGTAATTTTGCTACTGTCATTAATCATAATGTAAATATGATATGCAGGATTTCTGATATGCGACCCCCAAAGGGGTCTCGACCAACAATTTGAAAGCTATTAACCTAGCATCACTTGGGAGGGGAGTCTCAGGGAAGAAGTATCTGGATCAAGCTGGCCTGAGGCAAGTCTGTGAGAAATTATCTTGATTGTATTCATTAAAGCAGGAAGACCCAACCACTGTAGAAGGCTCCATTCCCTAGGCAGGAAATCCTAGACTGTGTAAGAGAGTAGAGAGCCAGCTCAGCACCAGCATGAATTCATTCACCCTTTCTGACTAGATGTGACTAGCTTCTTCAAGTTCTAGAAGTCTGGACACTACAGCAGTGATGAATGGTAACCACCATTCTCTCCTCTAAGTTGCTTTCATCAGGATATTTTGTCACAGTAACAGAAATGAAGCCAAGACATCCGGGATCTTAAAATACAGTGACGTTTATTTTTTTAAGATGCGGTCAGAGCCACCTCGTTTATGTAGTCCTACTCCACTATTCTCAAACTTTTCAATTGCCAATATATCTAGTAGTTTCAGATGTTTGAATGTAATTAACAACTTTGTTGAGTCATATTGAGTAATAAACTGTACTTGCTTAAAGGGTATAATCTCATCAACTTCAAGACAAGAAATCAGCACCACAGGAAAGGAATTAAATATCTCCATTGTCTCCACAAATTTTCTCATAACTCTTTGTAATCCATTTCTTCTGAAATCTTTTGTTCCCTTTAAATCCCTGTAGACAGTGGCCTTGTTGATCTCCCAAACAAGTTTGTTTTCTTGTAATTGCATAACAGAACAGTGAAAGAGGGTAGGCTGTTGACATTTCCATTGTATCAGAGGGAAAACATCTCCACTTTTTAAACGAGGAAGACATCTTATGTAGACAGCAGTTAAAGACTGAGATAAAGCAAGACTTGAAATCTCTCCCTGGCTCTGGCCCCAGGTGTAGTAAACATTGCACTGAGGCAACTTTCAAGTTTCTGGTTTCCTGGTAAACATACTCTGGTCACCTTGAATGTGGCTGAAGGCAGTGAAATGACAGCCCAGAATCCCAGTGATTATATTATATAATGAAGGTCTCTTACAACTGTCAACTCATCAAAGAGAAAGCTAACTAGATGGGCCTGATTTCATCACATTAGCTCTTCAAAAAATGTAAATATCAGAGGGAGAAGCCATAGAGATTTTTTAAAAAGTGGATAGCCCATGTCTGCCTGGTAGACCTACTCTGCTGTGTCTGAGAGTTCCTGGGATCAAAGAGGGATGTGGGCATGAAGAACTCAGAGTAAGCCCTGTAGCTGCAGGGACTGCAATTCAGCTAATGAGCAAAGTACTCAAAGCAGGTGAGATTTGAGACTGAGAGCTCTGATAGCAGGTATCTCTGTAGCCCAGGTCCTGGGAGGTGGGGAAAGCATACTGTTGAGGTTCTGAGCTCTACCAATAACAGACATCATACCAGGCAACGATGGGTCTCTTCCTCTCATCATACGTTCTCTGCATTTTCTAGACTTTTGTCATAAACGAGATGGCGAATCATGTATCTTTTGCCAGGCTTTTCTCATTCATCGAAATGATTCCGGGTGAGTCTGTCTTGCAGTTGGGTATCTGTGCTTATTCTCTATTCACATACAAATGGCTTGTATCTTGTATATTCCTCTCCCAGTGGGATTTGGCTTTCTAGTCTGTAGCAATTACAAGTAAAATGCAAGTCTTTGTATAAATGTATGTTTTATTTCTCTTATTTCAATTCAAGTGGTCTTAACTACCTGCTTGACTAACTTTGGTTTTACTTTTTATTGCCTGGAAATTTCTTCTTAGTATTTTATGCCTGCTTGTCTTTTTAATTACTCATGTCTTGCTTACTAATTTATCAAGTTATTTATACATTCTGAATACAAGTCCTATGACTTCTGTTATATATATCTAAAGTGCATTTTTCAGTTGACTATTCTTATTATGGTATCTTTTTCCATATAAGATTTAAATTCTAGGAAATCTCAATTTTTGAAGTGTATTTGTTGTTATTGTTGATTTTACAATCTCACTCCCAGACTGAAATGATGAAGATAATTTAGTCACTTTTGAAGTCATGTATTTAGCCTTTTATTTTCCATATTTAGGTCTTTGATGTATTTGTGTGTGAGACAGCAGGGTTATAATTGTTTTTTTCTTTGTGTACATACGTATAAGCAGGTGACACACGTGTCCACCCGTTCATGTGCATGCAGAGACTAGTGGTCAATGTTAGTTGCTCTCTTCTATTGCTCTCTAACTTATTTTTTTGAGACAAGATCACTCACTGAACCTGGAACTCACTGTTTGGGCTACACTGGACAGCCAGTGAGCCCCAAGTATCCATCTGTCTCTACAGACTAGAATTGCTGTGCCCAGCTTTTATGTGGGCATAGGGGAGCTGAACTCAGATCTGCATGCTCAAGTGAGCCGTCTTACTCACTGAGACATTCCCCAGTCCTATGATTGTTTTTCCTAAGAATCCAGTTTGCACATCAAATAGTTCATCATTTCTCCATTGGTTCTGAGTGTCAGATGCAGTGACTGCAGCCCATGCACAAATCTAGCCAGCACTGTGCTCCTGATGCTCTTGTATGCTGGCTGCTGATGGTCGGCTACCATGCTGCAACGAAGTCGCCTTGCCTTGAGGGTCCATTACCTTTTCTCCTCTCCTGTCTTCTACTTCAGAATTATCTGTCCTTCCTTGAATGTTGCTCCTTTAGATAAAATTGAGAATAAATTCATCAGAATATCTGAAAATTGTTGGTGTACTTTATTAGAATTGCATTGAATTTTTATATTAATTGAAGAAAAATTTACATTCTGACAGAACTTATTATCTGTTAGAAATTGTATTTTAACATTTGTTCTGTTTTCTATATGAATCTTAATGATATTTCCCTTTCTTTTCTTCATCACAATCCTGTGCTTCCTTTGTTAGGCTTATTCTTCCGTAGATACGACCTTAAATTCTATACAAACGCTCAAAGCTATTTCTCTCTGAAGTTATAATGTGAAGAAACCAGAATCTTACTAAATGGACTATTTCAACAAAGAAAATGAAACTACTGCTAGCATTGGTTATGAGCAGATGTTCAAAGTGATATTCTTCTGTTATACATTAAGAAAGAAGAGTATTTTGTGACCCCTAACATGACAGCTTCATGGAAAATTGACTTCTCTAGACTGTATTCCAAATCTGGGAATTTTGCAGCTTCTCTGACCCACTGGCCCAGGGGCTGATACTCAGTTTCACACTGATGAATTAAAAAAAATGTGGGGGACGAAGTTTGCCAGATCTACCAATTTTACATAAATATAGAATCTAGCAGTCCAAAATTTCATGAAAGTCACTAGTATTGCCAAAAATCTTTGCTGTTTTTGTTCATTTTAACATTATTTAGGCCCAAATAAGAACATAGAGACATTCTAAGGTCTTGGCCTACGGGGGACTGCTATCACTATTTGCTTTCAGCTCAGCTTCTCCACTTCACAAAAGTGGGTGGGGCAGTCATATTTTCAAGATGTAAATATCTGACACCACAGGATGTGCCTTCTAAAAGACATTCAAAGATTTGTTTCGATTTTTAATTTTATGTATGTATGTGGGTATGTGCATGTGTGTTCAGGTGTCCTCAGGGCCAGGGGTGTCTGATTCCCATGTAGATGAAGTTGCAATTATAAACCATCTGAACTGAACTACTACTGCACCGTGTCTCCAGCCCACTAAAGGATGTTTGTGTTGACTAGCCTTACTTCAATTTTGATAGTTATAGCAATTTTAGGGAAGCAACCAGCTCAGATTCACATCGTGACCACGAAGCAATGCTAGGCAAGAACTCAGTGAGACTTGTCCATTTCTAGCAGATTTTCATTGAGCTACACTGTCTGCTTACTTAGTAGAGCCTTCAAGATGAGCTGTGACTCTTCCCAGAAGGTCTCATATATCCATTTTCTGGACAATGAGATGTTGTTGAGTTATTAATCCTTTGGGGGTGGAATCATGCATGGAAGAACTCTAGACAAAATTTAGGGAATGTGCATGTATATAAATTTGCCCCCTGAGAGGTAACTGAAATGAACTATAACTATTATGGCTATTAAACCAAATAATCTATTAAGTATTAGTTACTCTTGAGCCTATGAAAGGTTGTTACCTGATTTTCTACACTGGTGTGTAGCAACACTGACACTTGTATGCCATAGACATTTTCATACTTGTTTTCTGTATGGAGATGTAGATTGCTGCACACAGATACACTCATATTAATACAGTAAAATACAATACAATACAATACAACAAGCATCCATGTGAGCCAATGCTCAGAGGCTCAACGGGAAAGACTCTAAATAAACTTAAGCGTCTCTGAGTCCTATCATTTGGCTTTACAGCACTTATAAGCTCAGAGTGAGGAAGGAACAGGTGGTCTTGTGTGTAATTTCTGTTGCTTTTAAGAGCTACCTGTGTAGCTTTGTGAATCAGGCAACTTTAAAGGCCCTTAATAACCGCATAGCTTCATTCTACAACTGTTATCACGTGGCTGGCCAAAGAGCTTCAGAAATGGAATTTTCATTGACAGAATTCAAACTGGTTCAAATTAGCCATGCTACAGTTTGTTACAATGAAAGGTTTTTGATACTTTGATTCCTTAACGACATCACCTAGATATAAGGCTTATTAATACAATTACTACTTACTGATTAGAAAACTCACAGAAACCATAGACTTCATTATTTCAGTTTGGAAAGCTTGGACATGTGGACAAAATCAGGGCCACTGGTTGTTTGAAGAAAATTTTACTAGAACAGAGTCATACCAGTTTATGTGTTATCCTCAGAAGTGCTTGGGCTAGCATGGCTGTCTGGTATAGTTATGACAATAACTCTATGTCCCACAAAACCTGAGGTAGTCTGACTTAGTCATTTTTGGTTGCTAAAATAGAATATATGATACTGGATAATTTATAAAGAAAGAAGTCTATTTGGTTCACACTTCTGAAAGCTGGAAGTTCAAGATCCTATAGCAGCATCAGGGCACAGCAGAAACACCCAGGGCAATCGACCAGTCTGAGAGAACCAAAGAGGAAAGCAGCTGGGCTTCACAACAATCCACTCTGGTGGGAACTAATCTAGTTGTGAAGAAACTGCATGCATTCCCTTTGAACAACTTCATCACCTCTTAAGAGACCCACCACTTCTCAAAACTGTCACACTGGGGACCCAAACACCAATGTGAATGCCATAGAAGACAAGCTATATCCAATCTGTGATCTATTTACCAGCCGCCTCTAAACAACAGAAGTGTTTACTATATGCACTGGCTGGTCAGACCTCTTCTGTTCTTCCCTACTCCCTTTTTCCCCCAGAGCTGAGATCCAAACCCAGGGCCTTGTACTTGCTAGGCAAGCACTCTACCACTGAGCTAAATCCCCAACCCCTGTTCTTTCATTTTTTTTAAATCAACTGTCGTGGTTAGTTTTCACCAGCTTGACACAACCCAGAGTCACCTGGGAAGAGGGAACCTCAAGCGAAGAACTGCATGGATCAGGCTGACCTGTAACCATGTCTGAGAAGAAAGACTGTCTTAATTGATATAGAAGTTTCCACTCAATGTAGGCAGCACCATCGTTAGGCAGGTTGGTCTGGACTGTATAAGAAAGCTGGCTGGTTGAAAGAAAGAACACACTGGTAAGCTGTGTTCAACCATGCTTCCCACCTCCAGGTTCCTGTCCTGACTTCCCTTAAGGTTAGATTGTGATTTTTAAGTATAAGCCAAATAAATCCTTTATTCCCCAAGTTACTTTTTCTCAAAGTTTTATTTTTCTCCCATAGCAACAGAAAGTAAAGAAAAACAACAGCCTTTCAACCAAGTTTTTTAAACAAAACAATTTAATTCTCTGGGACACAATTTAGCTTTTAGGCTATAGTTTGCTAATTTTCAATATAGACATTAAAACAATAAATCAGAATCTGGTTCATAGCATCTACATATTGCTGTGGTATAAATCCAAAGCTATGAACATGCCCTTGCTAACTGACATTTAATGAGGGAGATTATCTGATGGTCTCTAATAAACAAGCAATCAAATGCCTTAGCTCATTATCCATTTAAGCACAAAGTATAGCAGTGTACTGGTTGTTGAATTTTCCAACACTGCACTCTGAGTGGGATGACAACATCAACACTTGGAACCTTAACTAACATGTAAAATCACCTGGGAAAAAAAGGTAACTGGTAAATTTGGATTTTGACTGATTCTTCTCAGATTTTGTATTTGAGAGAGCTAGGCAAATATCCTAACAGGCTGCTCAGTCTTCTATCAGAAATCAGGCCTCAATTTTAGTTTCCCAAGACTGACAAGAGCCACAAAGGGCAAATAATCCCTGGTGCCCCTGACAACAGGGACAAGGAGAACTGCATGTACTAAACCAGCCCTCCCTCTAGCCGCTCAAGGACAAAGCTTGGGACTAGTCCAGGCCTGGCCAAAAATGGAAAACTGTAGCCCTGACTAGCCCCTAACTAGCTCTAGCCAATTGGAATGTACTATTATGATTGCCACTTGCTTAAACCTATCACATCTAAAATGAACTAACTGCCCCAGGAACTCCCCTTAGCTGTGCTTAAAAGGAGACCACACGTCCCTCTAAGGGTCATTGCCACCTTGCCTTTGTGTAGGAGGATGGACTCCAGCATGCTGGAATCTTTCTGGAGATAGAAAATGCTCTTGTTGACTGCATACATGGATAGTGGTCCTTTGTGGGACTTCTCTAGGACCCTAACAGTATTAAAGATGCCCACAACTTCAGCAGAGTGATGTATGTAAAACCCAAGTCTGAGTCCATTCACAAAGCACTTTTAAGACACCGGGTGCTATGGCTTGTGCCTAACGTGTTCCTTTCAGTCAAGCTCTCCATCTCCAGCTTGTGGTGCCATTTTGTGGGCACCAGTATTGAGCAGGTAAGGCCTGGCTGGCAGAAGTATGCCACAAGGCAGACCTGAGAACGGTAGCCAGCTGACCAGGCTCCCACTGCCACAAAACGAGAGTGTGACCCACCATCCCCACCATGATGAACTAAAATCCCTCTGGACCACAAGCCAAAGGAAACCCTTCCTCCCTTAGGTAGTTCCTGCCAAGCAGTTTTGTCACAGTGAAACAAGAAGTACCAAATATATTTAATCTTCAGATAAAAGTTCAAAATGTTACAGAGTTTCTGGTTAAATCTCTAACCTCATCTGCCATCATTGGCCTTCCTCAGCTCCCTCTCTTTAGCCATATTTAACACTGGTGGTTCTTAAAAGACAGGCACTGTTCCATGATGCTCAGTCCTTTTGAATTACTGTCTCCTTTTCCAGGAATGCTGTTCATCCCTGTATCTCAGCCCTAAAAGTTACCCTTAAAAAGGTGCCTTTGAAAATAATTTAGTATATATATTCACTATCTACATTTTGGAACGTTTGTATTCTGACTTGGCTATTTCTTTAGGTCAATGCTCCTATTTTGGCTTCATGCCCTGTGTTCAGTGTAAGGTATTGCATTTGTTAAAACTGCATCAATAAATGGCTGGACATTTAAGCTCATGTTTATCAGGCCAGAGTAGCCAGATTCCAGTTTCAGCTGATCTGCTTTTAAGATCAAACAATAAGACATTCCCAGTGTTACTTGAGTTGCTATGGGTAGAACCGGGCCCTGGCAACACTAACAAGTGCAACTCAGCT